TTCTTTATTCGTATTCTTTTCGTCTTTGATTCAATGAACCCTCAATTAGGATCTTGAAATGAAATATATTACCAAAAAAAAGAAAAGAAAAGAAAAAAAATTTTATGATTGAGTGAGTGAGTAAGTGAAAGCGAAATGAGTGAATGAGTAAAATGAATGATCCAATAATTTGAGCCAATTTTCCTTTCTGAAAATATATACCACACACGAATAATAATAATAATAATAATGATAATAATCGAAGAAGAAGAAAAAAAACCCGAAAAAGATTGAGAATCATAGTGAGAGAATGAAAAAAAAATTGGTAACCAAAACCAATAAGAAAATTGTTCGTTTCATTTGTTTTATGTTGATGATGATGATGATGGTGTATGGGCAAAGAAAAATCTAATTTATTGGTCCAAAAGTAAATCATAGACAAAAAAAAATCCCGTATTTTTCCTCTCTTCTCGTTTACAATGTTAAGTGAATATACACAAATAGGATTCGGTTTTTTTTGCTTCTTCCCGAAACGAAACCCCGAATGATTCTTTATTTCATCGGTCGATATCATTATTATTATTATTATGGATTCTATGTATTTCAAAATTTTGATGTTCTCTTTTTTCCACTGGCACACAAACTTTCATCCATTAAGTTGATTTGATTAGGAAATTTTTTTCACTTTCGTAAAAAAGTGAATTTTTTTAAAAAATCCAATTCGCTAATTAAGGCGATTCTCTTTTTTTCAATGTGTTTTGCTTAAGTGAGGAAAAAATTAGTCTAAATTTTCTTTTTTAGTCGTAGAAAACTAAATCAAGTGTGTAGCGAAATATTTTTTTTCAACTCGTTGCATTTTCAATCCCCTCACACACTAATTTAATAATTATGCTCAGGATAAAGAAAAAATGTAACAGCTTGAATTTTTTGTTTTTTCTGTTGCACACAAATGAAAAAGAAGTTCTTTTTTTTCTTCGGTGAAATGATAATCTATAGACAAATTTGAATGAAACAAACAAATAAAAACAGTTTGCGAATAGTTTATCCTCATCGCAAAACTGGTCATCTGCCACCCATGATATTGATATTTCTTTTTTTGGCTGGTCTTTGGAATATCAATTGTTTTTGTTTTCCATTTTTCACAAATATGATGTTGTTTGCGTTTTATTTTCATTTTCCATCTAGGCGAAAAAACAAAATGGAAAGCAATTTTGGTTTCTTTTACAATAACATGTTTCTTTTTTTCATCTTTTCCTATATTTCTATTTGTTATTCTGATTTTTTTTCTCTCTATAGGTTAGATTGAAATCTGAACCTTTTTTCTTAGAATATGATATTTTTCGTGTATATTTTGTTTTTTTTGAATCATCATAATATTAAAATCTCAATATTGTTATTTTAAACTGTAAATAACAAACAACGTTCAAACTTTTTTCTGGTTAGATTATCGTTTTTTTTGGTGGTTCAGCATAGAAAAAAATGATGATAATAAAATTGAAATCGTTCAGCCAAAAAAATGATGCTGTTCATGACCAAATGACCATTTCGACACGATAACATCTTTTACTCGGATTTAAGTTTTCAAATTCTTTATTTTTGGATTCATTCATTTTATTTTTATTATTATTATCTATATTGGTTTCTTATGGGTTTTGTTTCTTGCAAAAAGAATATGGATATTCATATAGATGATTTATCTCTGAAAAAACAGTAATTTTACAAATTTCCACTTAAATCAAGGATTAAATAAGTTTCTTTTTTCCACTGGTTTATTTAAATTCCGAAATTCTTTGGATGATGATGAAGAAGATGAGATGTAAAGAAAAAAACATGAATCTTGACTTTTGGAAAAAAAATTTCATTCAAAATGAAAAAATTCATTCTTGTTTCATGTAAAGATAATATCATTGAAAACAACGATGTTTACACACTCGTACATTTATTCAACGGAAAAATTTATGTAGAAATACAAATGAAAAGTATACGGATTTTTTTTGTCTGATTTGTTTTAATGTTAAGACTTTCATTTTCTTAGAAACAAAAATAAGCAAAAGATTGATTATTTTCTATTCTTTTGTTTTGTTCGTTTTCTTTTGGATTTTTATTTTGAAAGCAGAAAGCAATGAAACATATAGACCATGTTGTTGTTGACTTGATGAATTATTAATTTGTAATTTTATCCATGCACATATACGCCGTGTGTGTTGATAAACAAACTTAAACGAACCGAAAAAATAACGAAAAACGTTTTTCATTGGAAAATATTTTCTCATTTGAATTGAATAAATGAAAACTTTTGACTTTTGGATAATACTTGGAAATGCAAAACTGACTGAATAAATGAATCTTGTTGTTGTTGTTTTAATCTTACCGGCTGTTAATTTACATTCCTTATTATTTCTTGATGTGAAAAAAAACCTATTTTTTTAAATTACTTTTTTTTGCAGCTTAGTATACCTGACTGTTATTTTGGTCGTTTATAAATATTAACCACGATGTTATAAAATATTCTATAATGATACGATTCGATGTCAACATTTTGTATGTTTTCTGAATAATGATTGTTTCATTAACTTTGTGAAACAGATGATGTTTCACACAACAAACACATACACACATAGTAAAAGTATTTCACAGAATTAATGTTCAAACTAAAATGCAATATGTCACCTCACATAATGATGATGATGATAATACTGAACAAAGCCGAAAAAAACATTATGGTTGTTGATTTTTGTCATCAATTTGTTATTCATTCATTCAAAAATCATCGAAACACTATATAATTGAATCGACACCAAAAATAAAACTTTCTTTGGATCATTTGTATATTGTTATATTTCTATTCATTTTACTGACCTTACTACGATCATTATCATCATGATGGATAAAATGAAATGATTATTTATATGTGAAAACAAGCAAACAAATTACATCATCAGATTATTTGAGAGCAGATATATCTAAATATACCGGACAAATAACAAAACAACTGAGGAATAAACAAAAAATTAGAATTTCAATTAATGTGAATGTTTTGCGTGCGTGTTATTTTCATTTTTTTTCTACTACACATAAGGTTGATCTTTTCCAGTTCCCATTGGATTTTTTTTTGATCTCTCCCACACTTTATTTTTCTCTACTCAAACTGTATACTGGGTCATTATCATCACGTCGAAACAAAACCAAAAAAAGAAAAAAAACAGAGTGGTCAATATATTTGGTTCTGGTTTCTATTTTTTTTCTACTTTAATTTAATTGAATTAAAGATCAAAAACCGGATTCTCTTTTTTCTTTCTTATTCACTTATACAATTCTGTTTTTCGTTCATCCACTTTCTCCTCTTGGTTGAAAATAACCGAAAAAATTTATTATCTTCTTTTTTCTTAAAGCATTCACGTCACAAATGTATTCGTTGTCATGAATTTTTGTTTTTTTCTTTTTGAAAAAAATAAAAATAAAAAATGCCATTTCTTACCAGCATAATACACACACACACTCGTTATACTGACCTGTGAATTCTTAATATTTTTATCCATTTCTTTTTTAACACACATGACACACACACACCAGATCCCACAGAATCATAATTTTTTATTTCATCATATTTCTAATTTTATTTCCTCTCTATACCGTATTTTTTAATTCATATCATAAATTATTTATGTCACCAATAGAGATATCAAATAAGGGATCTAGGCGACGAAGAATTTCTTTTTTTTTATAGAATTTCCTAGGAATTCTATACAAACAAAGACACAGATATAGATAGGACACTTGTGCGTGTGGCAACACATTGTACACTTACATTACACTAGGATTGATTTAATAGTTGGTGTTTTTTTTTCTTCCCTTTCTTTTTTACTTTTTTCTTCAATTCTTTATATAACCAATCGAATACGAATAAATTTGGCTTGAATTTGAAATCGAAATCGATCGTGAACAAAAAGAAATTTTTATGTGTGTTTGTGCTAAGATGATCTTATTGGCTATTTTCGTTGGTACCGGGTTTCGATTTTCATTTTCAAATTGTGTTTACCGTTTATTTTTATCCTTCAAGATATATTTCAGATTTTTTTTTTGTTGAAATTCAATGTAAATAGCGTGACAAACACACACACACACTTCTTGTTTTTTGGATGGAAAAGAAAAGAAAATTATGATCTTGAAACTTCAATTGTGTTTGAAGAGATCATATTTTTAATAAATACATAGGATATTGTAAAAAGTGGTAGTTCAAAATCTGTGTCCATTTTCTATTTGCTGACAATCATAATTCATTGATTTTTTTTTTGATTTCGGTATAAGTGTGCATTGGAATTTTAATTTTATTTTTTCAAATCCACTAAATCACATTGTGCCGAGTGTGTGTTTGCATATATATGATATCATTGTCATCGATTCTAGAATTTTCCTATTCTTTATTCATATATTTTTTGTTCATTCGCTTGTTGGTTATCCCATTTCATTTATAAGTTATTTGAATCTTATTATTGTTATTACATAACAACCAAGAAAACAGTGAAGAAAGCAAGACCTTTATGAATATAATTATCTCATTTATTATATGTGATCTTTGTGCAAGAACAAAAATAAAGAATGAATGGTATTTATGCATGATATTTTTTTTTGTAAAAATACAGAAGGCAAACATTTTTATTTGGAATGGAATGTGTCAGAGTTCTCTTTTTTGAAATTTATGCATACAAAAAAAATGAAAAGAAAATAGTATCCATCCGTAATAAGAGAATAATCGAGAACTTTACCCGAGTAAAATAGTATAATGGGATAAATATGTCACATAATTTCCATAATTTTTTTCACCATTTGCTTTGTTTCTTTTTCTATTTGATATTATGAATGGTATATTTAATTTTATCAACATATCCATTTTTTTTCTTCTTTGTTCCATTTATAACATCACACAGATTTCAGCTGAAAAAAGGAGGAATTTTCCGTACACTTTCTTTCTCATCGATTATGCCTTGACACGCCGTCGATATTTCTATTTTTTTCAAAATCAAATGAATAATTAAGCGTCACTATACACACACACAAACATCGACATCATCAGCAAAAACGATTCTGGATCGATAAATTGTTTCGATTAATTGACTTACAAATATATATTTTTTTGTTTAATCGACATTAATGATGGATAAAAATAATCGATCAACATTGGGTAAAAAAGATCTAAACATTGGTAGCGTTGGTTTAGTTCCATTTCAAGGTATCGGTACAAGATTAAGACGTTCACGTAGTAAAGATCATTCAACAGATCAAGATAATTTATCAAATGATTTAGAGATTTCTAATTTAAAACATTTACAACAATCCCATCATCAACATCCTCAACAACAACAATTCATTTTGGGTCATAATAATGGTTATGACGGCCTAAATTTATATTCGCCATCATCTGGTACATTGGAGCGAACAAAACGTTTCTATGGAAATACACAGCCAAAAATACCAATGTTTGATCATCAACATCATAATAGTTCATTTATCAATTCTTCAATACAACAACAACAATTATATGTACAACAATTGGATCAACGATTGAATACAAAAAATGGTTCATCATCAGCATTATATGAAGATTCACAATTATTATCTCATCAATATGAAGAACCACAATATCTAATCGATGTAAATTATCGTGCAAGACAGCAGCAACAACAACAACAAAAAGATTTATATGGAAAATTCGGTGCATTCAATCATCAACAACAGGTACTACCATTATTGACAAATAATTCTATAAAAAATCATCGTAATTATACAACAACGGCTACAACATCGACAATAATACCACCAAGTAAATTATTTGCCCAAACATTATCATCATCATCAACATCATGTAAGTTTTATTTATTTTTATTTTTTGGCATGATTTAGATTGTGTTTTATTTTATTAAAATTTTAATATTTCAAGATTTTGGTTGTTTATAAATATGAACATAATCTTTTGGTGCAATCAATATGGTCGGTGTATTATCAATTTCTGGTTGTTTTTGTTGTTGTTGTTGTGTATTCATTTTTTGATTATCAACAGAATTATTATTTATTTCTGATTCAATTCTTCCAATATCTTTTGGTATTTCATTAAGATCTTCAGTTGTTTTTCCTTTATAAATATGAACATAATCTTCCGGTGCAATCAATATGGTAGGACCACCGACTGTATCGTATGGCAAAACTTGTTGTGTAGGTGATGGTGTCGGCGATGGTGGCGGTGGGGGTGGTGATGGTGACTGATATGGTGGTGTCTGTGTTTGTAATGGTGATTGTGTTGAAATTGCAAAACAAGGTCTTGTACGTTGTTTTCGTTGTGGTACAGATTGATCAGGTGGTAGTATATTTTCAATTTTTGGTTTTACTTGTTGTATTATTGGTGAAACATTTGCCGTTATTGTTCTATTTGATCTTGGAGTAATTTCTTTATTATGATTACATTTACAATGACGATTGTGGCGAAATTTTTGGCTACGTTTTTTCGATAAAGTCTGATGACGACGATGAGAACGACAATGTTTATGGCCACAACCGCCTCCTAATGCTTCCTCTTTAGATCCTGCCGTTTTGGATGAAGAATTTGATTTTTTACTTCGATTTATGTTCAGTTTATTTATTGGAAAAAAGTAAAAATAAAATTCTTTTTTGTCTTTTGTGTGTGTTTGTGTTTTTTGTGAGAGAAAAAGAGCAATAAGGATCGATATATTTACTAAGCTTTATTATTTTATTTTCTTCTTTCTGATTATTAAATCGATACAAAATTGACAATGTCAAACATCCAAATCAATCAATCAATCAATCACAGCTCAAACAATAACAAACAAACGTAAATCGAAATAATAACACAGGGAATAACCACTTGGAACTTTGTTAACAGAAACAAATGAAAAAGAAAGAAACTTATTCGTTTCAATTCACTTGCAAATCACACACAAACACAAACAGAAGGAAATGGATACTTGATTTGTTTCTTTTTTTTTGTTAAGAGTTTCACTTTTGTTACGAAATCGGGAGAAAAATCTTGGTTGTTTGTTGTTTTTATTTCAATTTTCGCTCGATCACACACAAACGATCCAATCGAAATTGGATACCATTTTTGTTTGTTTTTATATATAGTGATTTTTTTACTATTCAAATATATAATCTAATTGATTTAAATTTGATTATATTATTAGGTTACTGACTGACTCTTTAACAGAAAAAAAACTATATCACGATATTTCTGATAGTATTTCATTTTATATTCAGAAAATTATTGATATTCTTTACAGTTATCATTAGGAAGGTTTATTATTGAAGAATCCTTAGGTAAAAATAAAAAATTGTATTGTATTTTTTGTTTATTAATACTTGTCGTTTTGCATTTTCCTATTTCATGCTGTTTTGATTGTTCAAATATAAGTTTATTTGTTTTGTTTTATTAAAAAATTCGATATTTTAAATTTTTTCAAATTCTGATTCTGTTTTCTTTTACTTCCCCTTCCTTCCTGCAGATAAACAACCATCAACAACAACAACACCACCAACAACATATGATTCATGTTTAGAATCATTTTCAAAATCATCACAATCAACAACAACAACAAGCGGTATTGGTGGTAGCAATAGTAATAATAATCATCGTCAATTAAATAATTTAATAAATGATTGTAATGATGGTTGTGATACTGATATTATTGGTGGATCATCATCATCACCACAATCATATAGTGGCGGTGGTGGACAATCGGCTATTGTAACAACAATAAGTAGTAGTAGCGCCGGTAGCGGTTGTGATGATTTACATCAACAAAAACAACCGAATTCAATGACAAAAACAACTACAACGACAACATCAACAGCATCAACATTTTTATCATCAAACAATCTGATTCAACAAAATAATCATGGACATCATCGTCGTCGACGTGAACGTAATCGAAGACAAAAACAACAACAACAACAGTAAGAATATTCTATTTTGTTTTTTACTTTTACGAAACGAAAAAAAGAAAAATAATTCATTTGATCCCAGGGATTATGTTTACAATTAATTGATAGAAAAAAAAACGAACAAACAAACAATAACAAGATTTATTCGTGAATAACAAGAAACATTATTTCAAATGATGAAATTCTATATTATTTGAGTAATAATAACAACAAAGCAAAAACAATATTGTATTGTAGAAATTGAAATCCCAATGAATTTATTGAATGACCGGCAAATATCTCATTCTATTATCATTCATTAGCTCAAAAACAATGTTTTATCAGATCAATCACATTGGTTTTGTTTGTTTGTTTTTCGATGATCTATTTACACAAATAAATTCATCATTGATAATTATCAACATTCATTCAGTTACCTATAAATTTTAATCCTCTTCGTTCGTCTTATATTTTTTATCAATTCAGTTCAGTTCTTTTTTCCAATCTTTTTTTTTATATGAATTTGAAATGAAAATGGATTTAGTTGTTATTATCGTTTCAAACATTTTCATTACTATTATTATTAAGGCTGATTTGTTATCTTGAAAATTCAATCACAACATAAACAATTGGCCATATAATAACAGATTTATTTTTCTTTTCTTTTCATCAGACACACTTACATCAATAACAACATTGTGCAAACATGTCCACTTTTAATAAGACGACAGATTTTTTTTTTGTTTTCATTTCATATTGTTTTGTTCGTGCTCTATCGTTTTTCACCCACCCACCTTCCCACACAAACATACTGAGAAAGAGAGCCATACTTTTATTAAGTGTATGTGTGTTCGATAACGGAAATGGCCAAATCGATTGATTCTTCGATCATCGATAATCTACCAATCAAAGAATAAAAGAATAGTGGTGTTTCATTTTTTTTTCTTAACAAAACAATTCATCATTGTTCCAAACACAATAATAATAATAGCTGTGATGAAAAAATGAAATCTTACAAAGTTCAATCTTCTTTATAAAATTATTATTTCATTGAAAAATTTAATAATTTTCGGATAATTTTTTTTTGCTTTGTTCACACAATGTTATTTATTGATTACAATTTGAAGCCAATCTGTTCAATATATTTTTTTTGGATTCTCAATTTCTTTTGAATTGTTTTAGTAATAAAAAAAAACTTTATAACGGAAAAAAATCGATGATGATATGTTGACGTGTTAAGTATTCTAGTATTATTAATAGAATCTTGTGTAGATAGATTTTAAAACAAAGAAAGAATTTTCTATTTTTTTTTTCTTGATCAAAAAAAACTTAACACCTATAATCGGTCATATTGATAAATATGGAATCAATGTTTTTTTTCTTTTTTTTTAAGTTTTTTCTTTTTTTTAAGTTTTGTCTTTTTTGATTAATTTTCTCGTTATTAACAATCGATGGATGTCATATTCTTAAGTTTTCCTGTCGTCTTATCACTTACCTATCGGATTAAAGTTAAGCCTCCAAAAAAAGAAATTCAGCGAAAGAAAAAACTAATTATATGATAGATTGAATTCTCTTTTGAAATTTCTTTTCTTTCATAATGATGATGACGATGGTTTGTAGATTTTTCATTTGTTTAATTTTTTTTTCACTTTTTCTTATACTTTTTTTTCGTTCATTTGGATTCTGGATATTTTTATTCATTTGGTACTTTCTTTCTTTTTATTTGGTTATCATTTTTGTCGTTTTTCTTCAACTTCGAATCCCTTGATATTTGTTGTTGTTTTCTGGATAGAGAAATGTTTTTGTCAATTTTGTAACTTGATTGGTTTTTTTGTTGTATTTTTTTTGTTCTAATATAATGTTCATTTTGATTATTTGTTTCTTTTTGTGTGTTCGATTAAAACTGTCCGCTGGATCGTGATGATGATGCTTTGGTAAAAACAAAATTCTTTCAAATCTCACCGGACATTAAATGAATGAATGAATGAATGGAAGTGACTACTGACCAATATTCAATAGCAACATTAAATTGATGTCTTCAAACACTCCCCTCATCCTCTACACACATATGATATTCATCATCATTATGATAATTGGACAAGCGATAGTAAATGAAACCCACAAAAAAACCATGGAGAAGAAAATCTCGAATCGAATGAATGAATCGTATCGATATTTTATTTTTTGTTGTTATTCTGTTTTTGTCTTTTTTTCTGACCAACACAATAAACAAAAGATTTTGTCACTATGTGTGGCTTTTATTTTTATCTTCACGATAATTTCGATAAAATTTTTTTCCTGCTATTTTATTGATCAATATTTCATCGATGGCTGATAAGAATTTCACTTTTTTCATTAATTTTTTTAAAAAAAACTTTGATAACTTTTTTCGTGAAACTTTTCACTACATTTTTCTTTTTTTTTCCTTTTCTCTCTCGTTCAATTATCAAGATTTTCTTTTGATTATTGAATTTCAATTTTGCAATACGACAAAAATAAATAAAAATGTTTTTAGGATATATAGGAAAAAAATGAATTACATTTTTCTATCGGAAAAATAATCTTAAACAAACAATCCCAGAAAGAATATTGAGCCAATGAACAATATGTATCTATCTTTATTTGTTTCATTTCCGTTTTATTATTTTGTTGTTTTGATTTTTTTTGTTGTTGTTGATGATTGAAATAACAAGAAATCTGGACAAAATTTATGTCCACACACATAAGTATAAATGTAATCTTGGTTGTTAGTTTGTTCAAAACACGGATATTTGTATTCAACGACAACAAATAAATATCGATATCGATTCGCCCGATATATTTTATATAGAAGATCCATTAAAAGCTTTCGTAACATCATCAATGATGTTGATGTTAACAGAGTTAGTAACAACAACAACAAAATCAGTTAATCAATGTATGTAATATGGATGACTAAATAGAATGGTGATATTGTTAAATTTAGGCTATATATCTAAGTGTTCATAATCATACTTGAATCATTCAAGTATGTGTTTTTCTTTTCATTTTTTTTGGATCATCATTACACACATATCAAACTTTATTATAAGATATTGGTGACCAGAAAAAAAAGAATGGCTTCCAATTGTATTTATATTTATCATTTTGCTTTCGATGGTGGTGGCTAAGGAAAAAATAATATAATTTTTTTTTTGTCTGGCTCTGAAGAAAAAAATGTAGTTACATCATTTGTGTTATTGAAAATTGTAAACATTGATATTTTGGGTGATGATGGTGCTTTAGTTTTTGGTGATGCTTTTAGCTTAAGCAAATATAATTTTCCGAATCATTCGATTATTATTATTTGTTTGTTTCACAATTTTTTTTACATATGTCCTTTTTTTATCCAGATCATTCAATGATCTTATTGTTGCAACTTTTCATTTCTATTCACAAACACCATTGAGACATAATGTGGCTCTTATTCAATCGAATTGAATGCCATTTTGTTTTGTTGTTGCTGTTCAATATAATGCTCTCAATATAACAACAACAACAATAATAATACCTAATCAAAATGTTTTTCGGGATAATATGCGGGTCCCGACAACAACAAAAAGAATGTGAAAAACAATCCTAAACCTATATAATCAACAAACAGAATTTTTTTTTGTTGGAATGCCAGTCATGTACAAGAATACCACGTATAATAACGATGACAATAAAAACAAAAATCAACCACCTTTAGTATATTACAAATGTTGTTGTTGTTGTTGAAACTTTTAACCCACCAACAATCATATTATTGTTGTTGTTGTTGTTGATTCTTGTATGATCATGATGAATGGAAAAAAATACTTTTTGGAATTCGTTTGTGTGTGTTTTTGTATTTATATATTCTGTCAAAAGGAAATCCTTTTTTACACACTTGTTTGGTGATGTAATATATATACTCATCATCATTCATTCATTGCCACACTGATGATGATAAAGTTAAAGTTGATTTTGTCATTCTTTTCATTGAAAAAAAGGAATGAATGAATGAATCAAAGAAAAATAACAAAAAAACCAGGTTTTTTTTGGCCATAACCATAATTAATTTGATTGCTTTAGCCATTCATTTTGGAATCATGAAAATATTTTTCATTTAAAAAACCAGAAAAAATATATTTTTTTATTTCCGTTTTGCAAGAATGATAGATATTCTGCAAAAAAATCGGAAGAAGGTGCAAAACATGTGTTTGTCTGGAGAGAATCATATAATTCTATTACATTTTATACAATTCTAAAGGTATCGTTGTATGTGTGTGTGTGTGTGTGGGAGGGGTAGTTGGATGTTGTTGTGTATAGGCGTATGAATTTTGTATACATTCATTTCACATATTTTTTTTGTGTAAAATTTCCATTAGCTTTATTGCAATCATTCATCTTTTATACACATAATATTCGTTGCTGATGGTGATGATGATGGTGTGATGGTCGTAGGAGGATTATTATTACAAACAATAACAAACAGTGGCAGATAACAATGATGATGGTTTGTGTAACAACAAAAAAAAAATCCAAACCTGGTTTTTGTGTGTGTGTATGTGGTTCCAACCTTTGTTCATATTGCTATAATAAATATGACCGTTTGTAATTTGTAATTCTGTTATATTCTTTCAATCGGTTGTTTATATGAAAAATGATTCCAACTCATATAAATGATGATGATTATTATTATTATTATTTCATCTTTCTAATGTTGTCTGTATTTGAACTATTTTTTTTCCTGAAAACAAAAAAAATAGTAATGAAAAAAAGAATAGAATCACATCGTAAAAAATAATCAAAATGAATAGATACTATCATCATCATCATCATCATGACACTCTTTTGTTCACATAATTAATTTATTAATATTGCATTAAATGTTGAGTAATATGTCACATGGCCATCATTCATTTTTGTTTTTTTGTTTTAATATTTCACATACGATTGATGAGAATCAAACACAATTCTATAATGAATTAGGAAATGAAACCAAGAATTTTTTTTGTGTGGTTTTTTTTGGTCTGATCCATTATTAATAGATTTATAATCATAATTTTTTTCTTTCTTTTTTCTATATATGTTCAATTGCCGAATAATGAAACAAAACAAAAACAACAACAAAAGAAATATTTTTGTTGATTGTCGAATTAATGGTGATCATGAAAATGATGATAATGATGATGATGGCGATTTAGATGATGATGATAATGAGGATGATGATAATAATAATCATGTCGATAGAATTGATGATGGTGATAATTGCAATGATGATGATGATGATGATGAACCGACAGCTTCATTAATGGCTGAAGAATTACTTTCAAATCGTTTTGTATTACATAATAATAATAATAATAATAATTCATCTTTATCATCTAAACAATCACAACAACATTATAGTGCCATAATGCATACTTATGCAAATCCATTTCAAAATTGTAATGTATCATCTTCAGGTGGATATTCAGAAGATACAACCGGACCAATAATACCGACCGATTTGAATACAATGAGGCCTTCGCAGGTAAATCTTTATTAACGTTGTTTTTTTAAAAAACATTATTTTTTATTGTCTTTATATGAAAATGAAAATTTCAATTTTTATTTCCCATTTTTTCGATTATTTTCAATCCTGTCAATCTGATAATATTGACAGTTATTAAAAAATTCATTTGCTGGTTCGGGTCCACCTCCGGCTAGTCTTCAATCAAATCATAGTGGTGGAGGTGTTGGCCGTGATCATCTTCATCATAATAATAATCTAGTCTCATCATATCTAATACAAAGATTATTGTCATATTTTCGTGCCGAACAGAAACAACCTCCCAATGATGATGATGATGATGATGATCATAATATGAATTTACGTAATCGATGTTGTTGTAATGGTTCCAATTCTAGCTCATGGTTACGTTCATTTTCAACGCTTACATTGATAATTTTGATTTTTATTCTGATTATCATTATTATATTCCTCACAGGTATGTCTAATAAAAAAAACCATAATCATAATACACACTCCCCATTCTTTTAATCATTGTTCCTGTCATTGTCTGTTCTTTTTTTTATTGCTTATGATTTATCAATCTTAATCAATCATTTTTTTATATTTCGTTTTTTTTGCTTGGTTGATGATTCAATTTCGCATAAATTCTATAGCCCTACACAAAGAAAATATGATAGATCAAACAACAAAATTTCGAACAAAATCAAATATCGATGATACCAATAAGGTACCATGTGTAGTTGTTGAAGACCTGGATCAACATTCAACATCACACCTGGCCACTAATCAATATGGTATACAACGTACGAATATTATTGATGATAATATGCAACATCTCAATAGTAAGTTGGATAAAATTATTATTGCGAAATTTCAAGTCACGATCGACATCATTTATGATTTTATTACAGATGGTGATGATCCATTGGTTTCAAATTGTCCAAAATATTTTCCCCGTGATTCATCCCATTATAAAGAGATCAATCTGTTTGATCAACATCATCATCATAATAATCATCGCCCTCCTCACACTATATCATCAACGATGCCTATTTCGCTTCGTTTAACACCTTTTTCATCATGGTCCATATGGTTCAATCAAATTCAATCATCATATATTAATTTTCAATTTTATGCTCCAATTAATACACGATTGGCATTGGTGGCCAATAAAAATGAACCACCATCATTGACTATTCATCAAATATTTCAATTGATTAGTGAGGATACGTTGCTGATGGATAATTCTATCAGCAACAACATTGGTAGCAATTATAATAAACGCGATTCACAGCTTGCCTTGATGCAATTTAAACATTTATTTGATCAGGGTTCTTGGTACTTGTCGTTAGTCAACGATATTGATATAATAATACCACTTGTTGTAAATATTTCAATAGTCCAGAATCAAACATCACAACAAACTATAAATTGTCCAAATAATTGTAATAATCATGGCTATTGTCATACTGGTCGTTGTCATTGTTTTCCGGGTTTTATTGGCACAGATTGCGCCGATAGTAAGTCACAGAACCAACACATAATGATTTTAATTCAATTTCACATTGTATTTTTTTGATCAGATGTTTGTCCAGTTTTTTGTAGTGGCCATGGCCAATATTTACAGGGCAGCTGTCGTTGTGAAACCGGATGGAAAGGACGAGAATGTTCAATTCGTTCTAATGAATGTGAAACTTCTGATTGCAACGGAAATGGTCTATGTATTGATGGAATTTGTCATTGCCATCCTGGATTCAAAGGAGATGATTGTGAACAAGGTATTCATATTTAATGAAAATAATCATAATTGTTATGGTGAAAATTAATTGCATTGATTTGATTTTGATTCACCCCTACTCTTGTATGTAGCAAATTGCGTTGATCCAGAATGTTCCGGTCACGGAGTATGTTTAGATGGAAATTGTTTTTGTAAAGCTGGATTTGCAGGGCCAAACTGTAGCGAACCAGATAGGAAATTACACAAGTTTTTTCCGAATTGTTCCAACCACGGTAATATATAATTGCTAATTTTATCTAATAATTAAAGCTAATTACCTTAATGTACTTTTCTACCTTTTTCAAATCAACCCACCAAATAACCTAACAAACTATAAATGAATACGATGACCCATCATCATCATCATTTGATTCCATTAACAATAGGTTTATATGATTTAGAGAATGATCTTTGCATGTGTCATACACATTATTCTGGATCAGATTGTTCACAATTAAGTTGTTCATTGAATTGTGGTCAACATGGTTCATGTCGAGAAGGTCGTTGTATTTGTGATGATGGTTGGTATGGTTCAAATTGCCAACATAAAAAATGTGATATTCGTTGCCTTGAACACGGTAAATGCCATAATGGTACCTGTCATTGTCAGAATGGATGGATGGGCAAACATTGTACCCTAAGTATGTTGATAAATCTGATAATGATTTATCATAAGAATATCATAGGGAAAAATACTAATAATCTTTAATCGTATTATTTTTTTTCGATGACAATAATCATCTTTGATCCCAAAATCTGAACCCAAAAATAGATGGCTGTCCAAATACATGTTCAAAACATGGTCAATGTGTTCCTATTGTAACAGCTATTAGCAATTACAATAATAATAATAATAATCGTGATGATTTTGATGATATTGATGGCGATAATGATGACGATAATACTATCGAATGGAGATGTCAATGCAATGATGGTTGGGATGGACATGATTGTTCGGCACCACAGGAAACAAACTGTAACGATGAAATAGACAATGACAATGGTAATTGGATTTAATTCTCATTCAATCCTCTTATTTTGTTTCCTCAACGTTGCTGTTGTTTGATGCAAAAATTCTATGTTTATCTCTTTTTTTTTCTTTAATAATAATAATATAGATGGGCTGGTTGATTGTGCCGACAGCGAATGTTGTCACCATGAGCAATGGTATGTGTGTGTTGTCTTGTTTTGGATGATGATCGATATTGACACATTTCATGTTTCCTTTTGACAATTATTTTTTTTGCTTGTTTCTAAAATGTTTATTCGACTTGTCATATAAACAGTGGTCATCAATCATTAATGTGTATTACATCTCCGGATCCGTTGGATATTTTATTACAAAAACAGCCACCATCACCAACGTCGTCATTTTTTCAAAAAGTTTTATTTCTTATTGAGGATGGCAGTGTACAAAGTTATTCCCAAAAAGATGTCTATTCACCAAAGTAAGTATCGTCTAAATTTATATCCATTGTTTTTTCTGGTCTAAATAAATAAAAAAAAAGTTTTTTCAATTATCCAAAAAAAAATAATTGTTTTTTTTTCAATTTCCGCAGACGTGCATCCGTCATACGAGGTCAAGTTGTTGGTAAAGAACTGAATGGACTTATCGGTATTCGTGTAAGCGTAGTCAATGATCTTAAATATGGATTCACATTAACTAGATCAGATGGATGGTTTGATATTTTGGTTAATGGTGGCGGTATAATTACATTACAATTTCAACGAAATCCATTTTATCCGATTAAAAAATCTGTCTATGTTGCATGGAATGATATTACTGTCATTCAAAATCCAATTGTAATGTATTTAGGACCATCATCATCATCATCGCAATCATCATCATCATCATCTTCATCTACAACTATGAACAATGATCATCATGGAAATGAATTTCATAGCTTTTTACTTAATTCAAGAATTCCATTTGTATTTCATAATTTATTTTCACATTCAGGTTTGTTTTATTTCATTTTACCTAGTTCATTCACACTAATGATGATACCTACATTGATTTATTTTTACAGATTTTGGTGAAAGCAATTGGCGTAAATGGATAGCTAGAGGATTGTATAATGAAAGTAAAGATCATCATTCATTCAATTCTGATTCATCATCAAATCGTTGTCTAGAACATCATTATGAACATATGAAACCGATAATTCGTGACCATATTTTTCAGTCTTCCAAATTTTTTTCAACGCCCAACAAAGAACCTATCTGTGATAAAGATAACTGTATTATAGCGGAAACGCAGGTATGTTTATTTCTCTATCATTTCACTTTAAACATACAATTCTGATTTCGAATTTTTTATTTTTATTTTTTTTAAATATCCTGAAGACTGTTCATGAAAAGATACGTATCGGTACCACTAGATTATATGTTGTTTATCAAAGTTCACAATCTCAAGGTTATAGTTCAACATTGGATATTCAACTTACACCAGATATTATTCCTAAATCATTACGTTTCCTATTGTTACGAATATTGATCGAAGGAAATATTCATGAAAAAATTTTCGAAGCTGATCCTAATCTTCGTTATACATTCACATGGAATAAACAAAATGTCTATAAACAAAAGGTCTATGGATTTGCTCATGCTAAAAGTAATGATTTTTAAATTTAACAAATTAATCTTAATAATTGAATGTTTGTGTCTCATTTTTCTAGTCTATGTCGGTTATTATTACTATGATTGTTCCTATATTCTATGGACTGCTTTAACAACAAAACTTCGTGGTTATGATATGGAATTATCTGAGATTGGCCAATGGAATCTAGAGATTCATAATCGATACAATCCAAATGATGGTGTATTTCAACGTGGTGATGGTCAATTTCTGAGCTTTAAAGATGATCCACGATTACCATTGGTTATTGAACCAATTGCCGGTATTGATAGTCATCCAAGATCGTTTGCCTGTATGAATCCAAGTGAATGTAATACTGATATTGGATCATCACGTTTCTTTTCATTGGTTACGTTAGCTAATGCACCGGACGGTAGTGTTTTTGTTGGCGATTCAAATCTAATTCGACGAATCACACCAGACGGTCAAATTTATACGGTTTATAAACTAAGAACAAGTACAAATAGGCAGAATTTTGAATATCATATTGCATTCAATTCGATTGATCAATATCTATACATTTCTGATCCTGAACGATTTCAAATAATTCGTGTGCCAATGTAAGACTTTTAATATTTTCAATTTCAACCAATCTAATCATATAATTTCAATTGCTAGCCAAGAAAAATATGAATCTAATCAGGAAATTACAATACCAGAAGCAGAGATAGTTGTTGGAACCGGTGAACAATGTTTTCCACACGATCGATCTAGTTGTGATGATGGAAAAACTGGTGTCGAAGTTCAACTTATTTATCCTAAAGATTTAGCGTTTGCAAACGACGGTTCTTTATTTTTTTCCGATGGTAATGTTATACGGATATTAGATACGGCTGGTTATGTTAGACGTGTTGTCGGACAATTTACCAAACGACAATGGAAACCGATATCCTGTCAATCAAGCCATTTCGCTGATCATATCAAACTAAAGTGGCCAACTAGTTTAGCCATTCATCCACTAGATGGCTCACTGTTCTTCGTCGATAATCATGTCTTGTTTAAATTGAATCAAAATATGCAGGTATCAATTTTGTCCGGATATTCATCATTTTGTCTTGAAGATTCAGATACAATGCACAAGAATAATGAGATCGATTGTGATAGTTCACTGTTGAATGCTCAAACTTTGTCATTATGTGGCGAAGAATTTCTATTCGGTAGTATAGCTTTTGCACCAAATGGCATTTTATACATTGCCGATATTAGTCGTCGTAATGAGAATAGAATTTTCGCCTATATGCCTGATGGGTCATTGCGACATATTGCTGGATTCCGAATGAAAAAATCTAGCCATCAAAACCAATGCCCAGTTGAAAAATGTATCGATATGGCTGGTCAAAATTGTACTTGCCTAATTGCCGATTATGATTCTAATGATTCGACTATCGAAGCAAAGATCGCTTTAAAAGCAAGATTGAATTCAATATCAGCCATGACTATCACTGGTAATGGCGATATTTATATTGCCGATGAAGGTCTACTCCGACTTTATTTAATGAGATCATATTTACCACAATTGGATGATCAACATGAAATCAAAATTCTAATTCCCAATGCAGCCGAAATGTATGTGTTCAACAAATATGGCCAACACGTTAGAACCAGAAGTATTACGACTGGTCGAACATTGTATTCATTTGTCTATAATCAGGACAATAATCTTGGTAAATTAACACAAGTTATTGATTCATCTGGTCACAAAATCCTGTTCATACGAGATCAAACAGGATCATTGCATATGATTGAAAGTACATCTTTAGCATTAAAGTGTCGAATTACCACCAATAAACAAGGTCTATTAGAGTCATTCATAAATGGCGGCAATATTAGCATCAATTTTGATTATTATAACAATGGTCTGATCCGATCACGAGAAGAATCTGATACTGGTAAATCTTATTTTTATCAATATAATAGAAATGGTCGTATTAGGCAATACATTCGACCAAATGGCGCTTTAATTAACATACATTCATCAATAGACCATAATAACTATCAACATCATTTGACTGCAACTGAAATGCCCTTATTTATAACGAACAAACATCATCAAGCTCCATCATCTAGCAATAATTTTGAATATTTGCCCATAGGACAAACAACCGACCTGATAATCGGTGATAATTCGATGATTAAATTCTCTCAGCATGGAACGACTTTTGAGTTAAGTTCATTAAATGATGGCTCCTTACGGCTAAATACCAGTAGACAAATCCGTGCTCATTTAAATGAGAAAGTGAGCAAACTATCATTGGATATGCTAGCTATACAGGCACAGCTTTTTCCATTCATTTCAAAATTTACGGTGGCACAAACAACGATAAATGGACGTGATCAGCAACAAAATAAAAACGGACAAACATTGGATATGGAGATTGATTATAATCTTCGATTGAAATCATCATTCATCGATTCTGTGGAAAAATTGATCACTATCAATGATAGTTTAACAATGAAAATTGAATACGATTGGAATGCTAATCGAGAAATTTATTATAATCAATCACAACGACCGATACTATTTTTACAATATGATGATTATGGCCGACCTATTCAATGGATACCAAATATTAAGGAACATTGGCAAGCACATAGTGTTACCTATGATAAATTGGGAAAATTAGATACGTGGCAAAATGGTCAACACACACAACATTATCAACGGGATCGTGTTGGTCGTCTGACTGAATTACGACAGGCCGACTATCAGATTCGTTATAGTTATCCATCAATTGATAATGACCAGCTGAACAATCCTAGTTTTAGCTTACCATCATCAGTTACATTGAAAAGTGGCCAAAAATATATTTTTGATCTTGATCACGTTGGTCGTATACAGACCATCATTACGCCCAAAGGTTCTCGGCACAATCTTTCAATCAGTCTTGTGCTCGGTGCTTATCGATTTAGTTATTGTCCTCCATCCACTCCTATGGCCGACATTAATAATAACATCCATATATCCCCTAGTAGCCATTGCTACCTAATTTATTTCGATGAAAGATGGCAACCGCTCATGCGAGTACTGCCATATGACAATGGCAAAATCATCCATCATTATGGCAGTAAATTTTCTTTTTCAAAAGATTTGGCCAACGATTTCAATCGATTGAATGAAGAAAATAACATTATTATCGACCGAATGATTCATGGCAGTGGACTAATTGAACGATGGTATGATCAAAGAAGCCAACGAACCGTTCGTGGTATTTGGACCAATAATAACATAGAATTTGCCATTCAATATAAATATATTCGATCTAGTTCATTGTTAAAACACCAAACCTATCTATTTTCCAACATTCATTCAATTTCTCAATTTTCTTATAGCTATCGTTATGATAATATGATGAGATTACGATCTATTCAGGCTAAACTTGGCTCAATCACATTGCCAAGTTGTGATTTTACTTATGACTCGAAGGGACAGATCGAATCGATCGGAAGTTTCCGTTATTTTGAGCATGTATTCAACGAAACATTAATAGGCGATGGAATTGCATTGCTTGTTCGACGCTATGATCCAATTAAACAACGACTTCGTCATAATAGCCTTACGGTATCGGACAAAGAGGTATTCCGTTCCGATTTCATCTACGATGCTAATGGCCTACTCATTCAAACACGTACATTCATGCATCATCTTGGAGCCAATAAAGTTCGGCTACAGAATTTTACTTATGATGCTGATGGACAACTCATTGAAATGCAAGGTCGTGAACATTGGCGTTTTATTTATGATGCTAATGGCAATCTGATCACATTTCTTTATATGGGTAATCGTGTTGACATTGAATACGATATGGCCGATAGAATTCGTAATTTTGGTAAAAGTCAACATAATTCGGCCATAAGCGGTACAACACCGTACGTGACCGATTTACGTGGATTTATCATACAAAGAGGCGATGAATATCTTTACTATAATAATTTGGGACAATTATTACAGGCTATTACGCCAAGTCGTTATGAAGTAAACTATGTATATGATCATCATGGCAGATTGGTTTTGCGACGTGATCATCACAAAAATGTAACGCAATATTTATATGGTCATCCACTTAAACCTTATCTGGTCACACACGCATTCAACAATGCCAATGGTGGTGTTCTTTCATTAATCTATGATGATATTGATGACCTACTCATCATGATTCGATTGAATAATGAAAATTTCTATGTTGTTTGTGATCAAACAAAAAGTCCAATGTTGATATTTGATCATCGTGGTCAGGTGGTAAAAGAAATTCATCGTAGTCCATATGGCCATGTATTGTTCGATTCGAATCCAAATTTCTATATACCAGTCGATTTTAAAGGCGGTATACCCGATCCGTTAACCAATCTAATTCATTTTAATTTTATTGATCATCATCATCATCGACAACATCTTTATGATACGTTGACCGGTCGATGGCTGATTCCCAATATTGATCAATTGTTAGAGAAAAATCTCATTAAATTCCCACGAGCTGTAAACATGTATCAATTTGAACAGAATGATCCTATCAATGATCATCGATATTCAGGCTTGAAAGATTCGAATAATAACGATGATGATCATCATCGTGTGGAGATAATGTCCTTGTCACAGATACAAACATCATTACTACAATATACTTCCTCGCTAGTCAACCAAGACATTGGCCATGTTCCTCAATTGTTTCTTCTGACACAATTCGCACCAATATTTGAAAATATTCGCATCCATAGTTTAAAATCTTCAACCATATCATCATTACAAACATTATTATTCGACCATGTACAAAAATTTTCAACTTTTCAATCGAATTATTATTCAAAGGTGTGTATATTATCTTGTTTTTAAGGCTCATGACTGATGTTTATTTTTATTTTTCTTTCAAAAAAAAAATCAATTCAATTCGAGCAGCTCACACAAAACGATTGGACAGATGAACAAAATGCTCGGTCATTGATCACAACAAAAAATGCCTTGTTTGGCAAAGGAATCATTTTGAGTTTAATGATCAAACCGAATGCTATTAATGGTGTTGATCAAACTACTGATATTCTTTCCGTACATTTTAGTCATTCAATAACGGACACCTTATTGCGTGAATCATTAAACTTTCTCGTGAATGGTTCACATCTATTAGATGTTCATTTGATCATGGCTGGTCAAGATCATTACTATCTAGTCAACGATATTACAATGGCCGCCGATTTAGGACCGATGATAGCAAAACTCAAACAATATCAATCTCGACTAAATTTAACTGTTCAAGAAGTTCATAATAACGATAATGATGATAAACGAATGGTCAGTATAATCAGCTCAGTGATGATGACTTAATATTAAACACAATTTTTTTCAACAGACAATTGAAGTTCGAATAGATCAATCATCAGTCATATGGAACATACGTTTTGGTACTACCATAACCAAAGAACGAGAACGTGTATTAAAGATGGCCAGGAAATATGCAATTCAACAGCGTCTTGTTCATGAACGAATCAACATTGTTCGAAATGGTTATTCACGATGGAATGATCAGGAAAAACAATTTCTAATGACAGTAAAAAATGATCATAATTGGTATAGTTCAATTGGCAGTCTATTACGTGTCGATTATCAATATTCAATAAATGAATTGACCGAAGATCCGGATAATATTGTTTTCAAACGCTCAGCCAAATCGTGATTCAATTATTATTTTACTATGTTTTTTTTATGGATTCATTTTGATTTTTTTGTTATTTCCTTTCATTCAATTTATCTATTTTTTTTATCAAAAAAATATTGAAAAGATAATATGTGCAGTAAGACTCCGTTTGATGCTGCCACGATTATTGCGGTTAAAGTTTACGCTATTTTTGTGACTTTATCATCATTCAAAAAAGATATTTGCTTAACTCTGTTAAAAATAAAATAAGAGTAATCTTTATCAATGATAAAAAGTTTTGTTATTCTGGTATATAAAATAGTACTTTTAAATTATTCTCTAAGTTTAGCGATTTTTGTTTTACGTTCAAAATTCAAAGAATGTATCGGTATAAAATTCATCTGATGTTAAATCAGTAATGATGATCAGCTATAAATGATAATCAATTGGTTTTTCTCTTTTTTTTGCTTCGATAAACACTATATCGTCGACTATATCCGGCATCATCATCATCACTTTATGACTGGCCTCAATCCATCTGATTATCATTTGGCTATAGCTAAACGATGTCCATCAGCTTTTTCTATCTTATTGTGGTTTTAAGCATCTATTCATTCGCAAATTTTTTTATTTTTATTTTTTTCATTCAGTTCCTCTATCAATCACATGAATCAACAAACAATCCAACGAAAAAAAAAACAAATCTCAACAACAAACTATTTGTAAATCATAAAAATTGTGTGTCGCGATTTATCATTATGATTTTTTATATTTATTTATTTTTTTCAAAAAAAATGTATCTAGTCATCAAGATAAAGATTGTATTCATAAAAAAAGGAAATTTCCGTTTTAGTCTTTGATCCAAAAAAAACAACAATGATAAAAAGAAAAAAAATACAAAAAAAAATATTATATAAAGGTTCTATATTATAAAATGGTGTCAATAATTAGGAATTAAAAAAGGGGTAAGAAAAAAAGTGAGCAGAAATTCATAGCATTTTTTTTGGTATTGGATAATGGTTGGAATTATGATGGTGAGCAATAATAAAGGCGGAATAGGATGGTAAATTATGTACAACAAAAAAATTTCATCGAATACAAAAAAAAAATATTTAGTTGAAGCTTAAAAGCCGATAAATAACAAACGAATTAATAATATCGATAGTAAAACAAACACGAACATCGTTATCATTTAAATTTTGTTCGAAAAAAAACACCACCATTGAATTTAAATGAAATTGTGATTTATGAAAATTGTTAAAAAAATTGATGATGGCGATGATGATGATGATGAATGGAAGTAGATGATACCAAGAGCGATAGGAAAAAATAATTAAAATAACTTAATGGTTCAATAAAGTTCGATAAAGAAAAAGAAATTTAATCAAGAAATAAAAATCGAGAACAGGTCATTATTATTATTATTATTATTATCACCACATATAAACTTGACCAGGATGTAATGCATATGTAGGCCTTGCACGTGGAATCACTATTTGATGTGGTAAAGAATTATAATGTGAACCAGTTGCACTGTATGATGCTAAACTTCTATCCAAACTTGGTTCACTTTCACGTCGTAATGTTGATGTTGTTGTTTGGTTTCCACGGCGTGCCATAGATCCTCGTGCCGATGCCGGATTTGATTCGCTCTTTTGTTTGTAAATAAGGAAGTGAAAGAAAAAAAAATTCAGTCAAGTTAGTTGGATTAACAACTTTGTTAACAACAATAACAATAAATAGATATAACTATTCATAAGAAAAACAAAATGTACACAATCACGCACATAGACATACCATGTATTGTGATGATCGATGATGATGTTGTTGTTGTTGTTGTGGATCACTACTTTCGCTTGATGTTTCTAACATTGCTTTACGATCAAGTGTGCCACCAATTACAGCTACAGGACCATATGCTGCTAAATTCTTGAAACGACGATTTCTTTGCCGTAATTTTCGTGAACAATAGAAAAAACAAATGATAGCGATGATGACCAAAATAGCTACAATTGGTACCAATATTGCCAATACTGAAACAATGAAAAAAATGAAATTTAGTTATTATTTGGGTAATTTGTCAAATGTGCATGATGATAATTGTAATTGTTTAGAACTTGAACTTACACAAGCCATTGATTTCACATCGCCTTCCGATGAACATTGGATGACAACGACAAACTGTATCGGAATTATTTCGCCAACAATCACCACGACCATAACAATAATCACAAGATTTAATTTCGGTCACACACAAACGACCAGGTAATGAACGATCAAGATCGATGAATGGCTCTAAACATTGGCAACTGTAACTGCCGGGTTCATTGATGCAATGAGCTCTTGGTGAACAATCGTTATGGATGGGTGATGAACATTCATCGAAATCGATCACTTTTTCCACACGTCCCAATGGTTCCAATTTTTTTGACAGTTCATCATGAACATTATTACTTTGATGATTGATCTGTATGGTTAGATTAACTAATGCACCTCTTGAACGAGTTGTATGTTCGACGGATAATACTTGTAAACCGGCAATTCCATCTGCTTTGCCAACTTGTCGTCGAGCAACTCGAGCATATTTCTGTAATTCACCATCTGATGTTGTTGATGTGGCTGCAACTTCAGATTCAGCCGTTTTGGATACACGAACAGTCACCAAATAATTTTTGATTTCTATTAAAACAAGATATTAATGACATTAATAGTCATTTGTTATTAATTATAATGTCTTTTTTTTTGCTTCAAGAAACATTGATATAATTACCTTGACAAAGATTATCTGATGGTCGTCGTACATATCCTGGTCGACACTCACAAGTGTATAGATTTGGTATATCATTTTCACGGCAATACTCTTTATTAGTGACATTACAAGCTGGATCACATAGCTGTAGATGATCGACGGCTATCGTTATATTTGTATGATTATTACGGACTAGATTAGGTTGTTGTTGATTTCCATTATGTATAGTTGGTTTCATCGTAGATGTTTTGCCGCCTGTTAGAATGGATGCTACTTTAGCTCTATTTACCATATCGTTGGCCAATTTGGGACGATGTAATCGTGGACGAGTTGGACTGGCTGTCGAACTGACCGTCGTTGATGATGATGGTGTTGATGCAATAATTGACGGCATGCTTGAAACAATTTGCGCTGTTGATGTTGTCGAACTATCCATGATTGTCGTTTTGGTTGGCGTAATCGAATTGTATGTGCCCAAAATAGTTTTCGAACCGATTATAGTTGATACATATGTTATTGGAGGTAATGTTGTTGTTAGCACAGATGTAATAGTAAGTGGAGAATCGCGTGTATAATACACCTGAATGATGGGTAAATAGATTTCGAAAATAGAGATAGAAAAAAATTGTTGATTGAATGAACTAAAATTATTAATAACATGCAATGATGTTTTCTTACCTTTGTGCTGGTCAACGTTAATGTTCGTATGGATTTTTCTATACTGGTTACATATCGTGTACTGACTGTTGATTTATCGCCATCTGATTGTGTACTGAATATGGCATCATTATCTCGAGAAGAATCATAATATTTAGATGATTTTTGTGATGGTGGTGACAAATACATTGGATATCGATTCAATGATGGAGTGGCTTTAGTTGTACTTGATGATGATGGTGAAATAGTTGTATCTGGCTGTCCATTGTTTATTGATGATGGTAATGTTGTAGTAGTGGATGTATCATCATCACCATCTTTAATAAATATATCTTTGACTATATCTTTGATTGTTTCACCAATCGGTCCAGCATCATGAACACCATCAAGAAGATCTTCTAATTCGATAACGGATCCAGGTTCAAGAACAGCAGTTGTCGTTGTCGATTGTTGCTGATTAGATAATGTTCGATTGGGCATAGGTTTTTTATAATCTTGATTAACCATAATGAAATCTTGATCTAATGGTCCAGTTTCATATGAAATTGATCCGGGAGTAGTTAATGGTGGGCTAGGCGATGATTTATCCGTAGGTAAACTATCGGTGATCATTAGATCATTGCTTGTTGTGGTTGTGGTTGTATCGTCATAGTATCCCGTTGAACTTGGTAAATTATATTGTTGAGATGATGATGTAGTCGACATAATTTTACTTGAATCGATCATCACATTAATTTGACTATTGACGCTACTTGTTAATAATGTGTATGGAGTGACGTATTTTGTTCGAGTCATCACTGTTGGACTAATCTCTTCGATAGAGGATAATATCGTATGTGACCCACTGAATAATGTAATAAAATGGGTCAATGTTGTCTGCGTTGAATAGGTTTCCGTAATCAAACGAGTCATATCATCAACATTATGATCATCCGAACTATCAATTGAAGAATCAATCGAAATTGTACTAGCTGATGGAGTTTGACTTGATTGGAAAGCATTTGTTGGTGTAAATTGTGCCGATGGCATAATAGTTTTCGTTATCACTATCGGCTCTCTCAATGTTAGATATTCAGTTTTGATTTCTTCCAATGGTGTAATGCTTGTCTGTGTTCCATTAAATAATGTTGCGAAATAGGTGTATGTAGAATACAATGTTGAAGTTGTTAGTATGTCACTTGTTTCAACAACAACATACGTTTTTGCTTGTTCAGAATTAACCGCTAATGAAGATTGTGTAGACTTTTCTGAAATTGAGTCTTTTTCGCCCGGTATAATTCTTGTTATATCTTTGATCGATGGTGTTTTAGAATCGACTACTCTAGTATTGGCTCCTTGTCCCATGATAAAAGTGCTAGTTGGTCGCAGATTGATTGGAACGGTGTGAGTAGATGTTTCATACACTAAAGTTTCATGTGAAGATGATGGTTCCATAGATGATGAATCAATTATCATTGATGTTAAGGGTTGTGTTGATTTAATCAATCGACGACTACTAACTCTTATACGATTATTATACATTGGTGACCATTTATTCACACCACCAGCCAAACGAGTTAAAACAACCAGACGACTTTTATTGATTCTACTGGTCGGTGTTGGAATCAATGTTGATGATGGTTCCCAAATAGGTGATGGCGATGGTGATGGCTGCCCAAAAATGACCGACCAACTGTTCAACGATGATGAATCAATTTGATTTGGTAATGATGGTGTGGATGAAACTTCCGATGACGAAATAGAAGATGTTGTCATAGTTGATTCAATCACTGAAGATGGTCGACTGGCTGTTATATCAAGTGATGATAAGACGGAACTACTTGGTGAATTAAATAGATTTGTAGATGGTCTACGAGAGAAAAATCTGTTTCCACCGGATGATCCTGGTCGTCGTAATGTGAATGCAACTTTTTTACGTGATGATGGTGTTAAAGAATCTTCGTTCGGATCCATAGTGTTCAATACAGGTGTTTGATCAATAACCGTCGGCGTTAATACATATGAGGTTGAATCTTGTACATTTCGAATAGATGATTGTTCGGATGTTTCAATAGATGATCTCGAAATTTGATTAACAATTTTCGAGCGACTGGGTTTGAGTTTAATACGAACACCAGGTCTTCTTGGAGAACTTGTACGACTTCTCGAACTAGTCATTGTAATCGGTTCGCTTGGCTCGATTATAGTAGGCGTCGATAATAATGATGGTGTCGGCGTACTTGTATCCAGATATATGTTTGTACTGCCAAGTTTTGCTGTTTCTCTAAATGTTTCCGGTTCTTCTGGCTCCATCGAACTGGATATCGTTGACAAACGAGTTGGCTGAATGTGTGAAGTTGGTGACAATGATGAAGTCGGCGCAATATCAATCTGTGCATCTTTAATACGACTGAATTGTATGTAATTGTTTAAGGCAAGATTAACAATTGTGGTCGATCCACCATTAGCACGTGATCCAAGTGGAACAATTGAATTTGGTTGAATTATTTTCAATAAACCATACGAATCGATTGTTGGAGCCATTGAAGGCAATAATGTTTGTAGATCACCATTGTAATTTGTGGAACTTTCTTCCACTCTTGTACTATATTGTGTTTGTGTCCCATCAATAAGCGTATAGTAATAGGTAAGCAATGAAAGCTGTTTTTTCAATTGTTTTTGTAATTGTTCCAATCGAACTGTGACCGGTTTTTCATTATTGTGTTGAGCAGGGGGATGTCTAGTCATTACCTTTGTTGATTCCAATAAAATTGGTGTAATTTGTACACGTGTCGGTGATATACGATGACTTGATGATACCGGAACTGATGATGATGCCACATTAGTCACTACGGTTGATGGTCGAGGTATCATTTTTGAATTGGTAGCAAAAATGACTTTATACAGATCATCGTTGAATACTTGTACTCGGCTAGCAACATTGTAGATTGTTGTTGTTGCACCTTTTGTTTTGGTGCCTAATAACACTTTTGTAGGTGTTGATTGAATGTAACCATCACTAAATTCAATAGCTGTCACAATGTTTCGATCGATTGGTTTCAATTGTGTGGATGATGATACCTGTTCACGACTAAGCATAGCTGTATGCGGACCACGAACAACAGTCGTGTAATAAGTAAATGTTGTGTAATAAGTCAACGGTATAGTCGGCGTTGGAACAACATTTGGTGGTATGGCAGTGGATTGTGGACCAACATTCGATCGTGTACGTACCGGTTCAAATATGTTGGAACTCCGCGATAAACTTTCGATAACTAAAATCCCATTATCATCATTTGTATCAGATGGTGATACTCGATTACCGTAGAAAGAACTACTACGATCACGATCAATACCAATTCCTGAATCTTCTTCATTATCCAATGCATTTGGTTTATGTGAAAGATCGTCATCCTGTGCACCGGTGATTGGTCCACGTCCAATTAATTTGTCATTAGCTGTTATGATGGCGATGTTAGATGATAAAGGCAATCTACCCGCGTTGGGTCGAACTTGACTTGGTTCGACCGCAATTGCAGTTGGCTGAATTGTTGGTATTTTCGGTTTAGTACTTCTCCAATTACCATTCGTCGGTGGTTTGATTCGTCTAAATGATTGTCTAGGTATTTGTGAAGGAATAGGCACTGGTTGTGGTTGTAATGAAATTCTACTTGATGCTGGTGGTAATCCGACTAAACGATGAAAATTCGGCGCTGGTGATTCGTTCAATGTAACCGGAACAAATTCATCTGGTAATACAAATGATTGTTTTGGTGATTGAATTTGTCTTGATGTATGTTGTGGCATCGAAAACGAAAGCGATGATAATGGCTGTGGTGGTGGTTTTTGACTTTGCGCTGAATTTGGATTCGTCAATCGTATTCGTTGAAATGATGGTCTGGGATTACTACTGGATCCACGTGGAACCGGTGCCGTAAGCATACCAAAATCTTGTTCATCATGTAAAGAAGATACACCCGATATTGATGTGGATGTTAATGTGGAATGATGGGGATGATGCCGTACAATAGGATGTATGCCATCATTCATAGAGGACAGGAAACCATCCTGACGCCTGCTATTCGCTTGATGATGCGGATGATGATGTTGAAGACTAGCCGAAAAAGGTCTTAATGCAAAGTCTGATTCTATATTTTCAATCATTTTGGATGATAAAAAACAAAAAAAAAAATTATTAAATTATATTTAATGATAATGAAAATCAAAAGAAAAAACCTAAAAAATCTATTATCGTCAATCATATTTTCCATGTTCCAAATCTCCAATAACTTTATTTTGTTGCCAACAAAAAAAAAGATTGAATTATTCAAGTTTTATAGCCTAAACATTGGATTTATTGTGTCATCATCATCATTATTATTATAATAATCATCAAGATGATTCGATGCGTTTAATAAATATATTGGCAAACGTGTTGACAGGTCAATAATCAACCTCATGATATAATGAAAAATAAAATAAGAGGGAGAAAAAAGATCAAGTGGCAATCTCATCAATTGTTCAAAACGTATAGATCATCATCATAATAATCGAATTCAAATGATTGATTCAACTCTAGATGGATGGATGTAATTTTGATTCGACTACCATATTTTTTTTCACCGTCATATATCTATATATATAGTCATTTCTTGGTAATATAATAATAACAAATGACCATCACATTATTATAACGATCAATCAATAGAGAAAAAGACATCGAATGAGAAAGAGAGAGAGATCGAATACCTCAAATGGTTAGTAAAAATTTTTTTGGCAATGTATCGATAATTGAGGTCAATGAGAGATGAACGACAAAGGGGAAATGTGAAAAAAAATCTTAACGGTTTTCGCTTGCTAAAAAAATGAAAAATTGCCAATTTTAGCTATTCATACATACATAAATCATTTCCAAAACAAACCCAAACAAGACATATAGAATAAATAATGAAATAAATAAATAAAATAAAATAAAATAAAATGAAATAACAAATAAACAAACAAACAAATAAATAAATAACAACTTGATCAATCTTATGAATGTGGGCAACAACATCAGAAAAAAATGAAAAGAAAAATTTCAAATTTTCAAAACATTATCGATTATCTCGAATACATCATCCATCGATTGATTGATCAATATATATTTTTTTCTTTTACTTCTATCCAACAAAAATTTCTTGATTTTTGTTACTGAATTTTTTTCCATTGAAAATAACCCTTTTCTTGTTTTGAAATGTTGTTTTCATCATTCTTCATCATTCATCTGGATTATTGTCATTGTAATAATAATAATTTTTTTCATAAATGAAAAGATCATTAATAGAGCGGACATCGACAGAAGTCGATTCGTCTCCGAGAATTGTAGAACGATTATCATTATCATCAAAGTAGAAAATGAAAAAAATATATCCCGAAATTTTTTTTCATTCATTTCGAATCTACAGACAGTTTTTTTTGGTGACCTGATTGTGGCCTTGTCAGGAATAAGGAAAATAAAATGATAAAGAAAAGTATTTGGTGATGGTAGTAGTAGTCGTTGTTGTTACTGATGTACATTTTATCAATGTATCCGATGAAGATGATCTTCGGCTTCGCTTCAATCACCCGATCATCATCATCGAAGTCGACCTCGATTTTGATTATTTTTTCATTCGATGAATACCGACAGGAATTTTTAAGAAAAAAAATTCACCCGATCAACAACAACAGCAACAGAAACAAATACCGACAACATTTAATTTTGTTGTTTATGTTATACATCAAATGTTGACATGAAAACAAAATAAACGGTAGCTACGTCTTGGGAAAATATAAACATTCAAATAAACAGAACAACAACGGGAAAGATCAATTCCAATTTAACTCCTAAAGATAAATAGAAATAAGATAACCAAATATCAATCAATCAATTTAATAAGTTAAATATTGGTGTTCTTCTTTTCAAAATAAGAAACAATTGATTGGTCGATTCCAATAACATTCATTTCTTTTGATATATGATTGAAACTTGAGAAATAAGATTCAATATGATTAATACAAACTTATTACTCTTTTGTGAAAGTTTTGGGTAAGGTAAACCAGATAAATCAAAACAGATCGATCGACAATTGGTCATTTTTTATTTATTTATTTAATTTTTATCCAATATAAATGATAAATTAAGAAATTATATAGCCTGAAGTATCTATCATGTGTGTGTAAATAGAAACTTTAGAAAATGATAAATATAAAATTGAATTCAATTGCGATAAAAGATTAAACGATCAATTGAAAAGAAAATTGTTCTATTTTATATTTGATGGTGGCGGCAGCAGTAACATCAAAAAAATAATGCCAAGTTAAATATGGAGGCCAATCATCTAATCAACCAATTAGGTTTATATAGACGGATGTTAACAAAAATATATCGTCATAATGAATAACTTTGAACAACGTTCCTATCATGATCATCATCATCGATGATGATGATCATCACCATATCCCTTTCAAAAGAAAATGAAATAAAATAAAATCCTTTCCGAAAAATAGATCCGAAAATCCGCTTTGATAAAAAATGAACATCAACAAAACAGCAACAACTCCAAAAAAAGAACTTGTTTCAGAGACGTGTAGAAATGAAAAAATAAATAAGTTTATGATTAAGTAGAGAAAAAGAGAAAAAGATCAAGTATAATCGGTAAATATTATTTTAGATGGTTTGAGAAGGAAAAAAAAAGATGTTCGATGATGATAATATCTAACCGAACCGAACCAAACCAAACCGAAAACACACACACACATCAAACACCATTCACCATCAACCAACAACAATCCTCTTTTTTATTTCGAAGGCATAAATTTTTTTTCGGAAAGAAAAAAAAACAAACAACTAAAAATAACTTTAACTGACTTAAATCCTATGGGGAAAAATAGCTGACCATTGATTTGATCGATATAACATATACAAAATGAAAATTTCTCTTTCGCTCTACCTCTCGGGTTATGTTATAACATTCACATCAACAAACCGGCGGCTATCAAATAAAATAATGTTAAAATGTTGATAATCTGTAGATGTTTATTATATTAATATTTTTTTAAGAAAGAAAAATTTAGAAAGATCTGATGTAATCTAATATAATAGATATATGTTTTAGCAAAAGAAACCACTAACTAATTATTAAAACAAAGAAACAACAAACACAGACACACAGAAAAATAGATAAATTAACACCATGATTGAAACAACAAAGACAAAATGTTTAATGATCGGTTGTTTGACCAACTATAGTGGATGTTTTTGTTGAAGAACATTATGTAAATTTCTTTTTTGAAAAATTTTAAAACAAAGCCAAACGCGTACAAGATGATTATTAACACGCGAATTGTTTATCAAGACAAATTTCTATTTGTTTTGTTTTTCTGTTTTTTTCGCAGGCATTCTTTTCCTTACATATGTCATTATCATCATTATTATCATTTATTATGTCATTTGTTTGTTTTGTATTTTATGTTATAAATTGGATTTAATATGATTTCATGCTTAGAACACAACAACACACATTGATAAATGACACTTCCTCGAGGTGTTGTCACAATTTTTATTGCATTCATATTACAATAGAAAAAATATTTGAATGAATAATGTAATTGTTGGTCAATGATAATGATGATGTCATTGTGTGTGTGTAACGAATAACAAAACAAAATAGAAAAGATGACACGCGAATATTTAAATTAGTTAGGATTTTGGCCAAAAAAAACTATCATTGTTAATAAGAAGAATGTGTGTGTGTTTTTAATTTATATTCGATTGGCAACATGAACGCCCAATAAACAAATTTACAATTGTTACAAAATAGAATTTTGTATTATCAATATTTGTTTCTGAATGAAGATAATTTATGACCTCGAAATTATTTATTTATTTGTTTTCATCGTTTTTTTTTGCCATTTTTCTTTTCCCTGTGACAATAAATTTCAATGGCAAAAAACTCTTGAAGCATCCAATAAGAGAAAATGAATGATAGGAAAGTTTGCAACAAAAATATTTAACGGCTACGTTTTCGTCACGTAAGTAAGAAATATTTTTCTTTTTAACAAACCGATTTCACTAAATTTGGCCGATTTTCTTTCCCTACATTTTTTTTTGTATCAATCAATTGTTGATGTTATTGTTTCTTGTCCATCAAGAATGTGAGAAAATGATACAAAGACGACAAATCATATTTTTTCCATGGGGATTGTATGTCAGTCTTTCTTTCTCTCTCTCTCTCACTCACTCAGCGAGCCATATCATCATCAAATATGATGATGATGAAAATATTAAAATTATGTACGAATCGAAATTGGCAAAAGAAAAAAAATTCGAACGAAAAAAATATGAAAATTTGCCGACCATGTAAACACTGAATTCATGTTAGAATTATGTATCAATTGGTCAAGGGAGAAGAAATCGTGATCATATCACACGCGCGCATCGTTCGATCACATCGTCATCATTATTATTATTACGACAAAGATGATATGTTACTTTTGCAAAATATTTTTTCTTTGTTTTGATGGATACATTGATTAACAAGGAGAAATACAAAAAAAAAATTCACAACAACAACTACGAAATAAAAAATGATGAAAAATTTCAGTCAAATCACGAATAAATAAATGAATTTTGTTTTCATTTTGTTCTCATAACACTTTGAATTCGAATTCGTTAATATGATTCATACGATGAAAGTTACGATTGATCTATTTATGTTACTCATTCATCATAGAATTTTGTTAAGTTTTTTTGTTTCCTAATTTAAAAATTTTCAATCTTACCTTGTGCATAACACAGAAATGGAATGAATGTATTGATGATGATGATAATGAATAAAAATAAAAATATCGGTGATGATTGAAATAGTAGTAAGGCACTATTATTATTATTATTATTATTTGATTTTTTTGTTATGAGGTAATGATTATCTTGTTTCTGTTGTTGTTGTTGATGATGATGATGATGATGATGATGAAAATTTGACCACAATTTTAATGAAAATTGAGATAAAAATGATTCAGTTATAGATGATAAATGTGTTGATGAATCAGTTATTGCCGTTGGCAATTGGAAATTATTATGTGAAAATATAGTAGCTGATGATGTTGATGGTGATGATGATGAAGATGGTGATAATGTTGGCGAATGTGGTTGCTGCTGTGACAACGTTGATGATATTAATGGTGATAATAGCCGATGTGATGATGGTGATGATAATGATGTGAACAATGGCAACGTTGATAATGGTGATGATGGCTTGAGCCGTGTTTTACGTCTTCGGCCTTCCATTTTGGCTTGGCCTGTTATGTTTTTTTTTCGTTTCAAATGAAAAACGAAATGTTTAAGAATATTTATTTTGCAGTGTTAAGTGAACTTTATTCCGAACAATTTATCCTGGAGTGATCAATCGTAAAGATGAAAAGAATTGAAAAGAAATTATTGTCACTGATGATAATGAAATATTTAAAAAAAAGGAAGCCAAACAATCAAATTCGAGATGATAAATATCAAATATATGATGAATAAATCACTTTGATGAACTTATTATCATGAATTGAAATCTGATGATATTCAATTCAAAGTTGGGCCACAAGGACCATGAACATAGTTAGAAGAAGAAAATTTTTTTGAATCAGTAGATGAAGTAGATAAAATTTTAACGTTTTCGATGACGACAGAACAATTATCTACAAAATGACTACAATAATTATTACCGGCGAATAGATTATGTTGTTGATGATGATGATAAACCATCTTTATAATTCACTTGTTGTTGTTGTTGATCACATCATGTACACACGCGTTTTTGATGAATCCGTTTATCCGGATGATGTGAAATTTAAAAAAATAACTGAAAAAATAATGTAAACACAGATATATCGTGTCTTCATACGATGATCATTTCATCATGAATGATCAGCTTTATGTGTTTATCTCAATAAATGTAAAATTACTGGATATCCGAGTATCAAATCTTTTTTTTCTCTCTCTCTTTCTCATCATCTGATGATGAAAATATTTTGCTCTTTGGATCCTTAAGAAAACTATTCGATAGATCAGAGAAAAAACAACTTACTGACCGACCGACCTACCTATCGACTGATCATCATCTTTTTATTGAAGAATTATGTCAAAAAAAAAAAAAATTTCTAAGCATCAACAACATAGCCTAAACTTCATCTAACCGAACTTCATCTCTTTTTGGGGGTCTTTTCACTTGCTTACCTGTTCTTTTCTCTTTTTTCAGTCTTTTTTTGTTGTTGTCAGGTTAATAATGGTCTATGCACATGATTATGATGATGATGATGATGTTTCTTGTTGATCATCAACAACTATCGATGATTTCGATGAAATACCAAAGATACACACACACATACAACAATTCAAATATGTTTTTTTCGAATTGATTTTTGTTTTTTTTGAACACATAACATTCCCGAACAAATCTTTTGGTCTCTCTATGTGTTTTTTTGTCTATATGTGAATCATGTGTGAATAACTTGAGAAGAGTTCCCAATTGGAAGCCAACAGGTGAATAGCTAGGAAGAGAACAAAAAGAGACAGCAACAAATGTAGTCGGTGATTATTGAGAAAAAACGAAACGAAACGAAAGAGAATATATGTAAGTATGAATGAAAAACAAAACCAACAAACAAATAGTTAAAGAGAAAATGAATACAACATTAAGATGGAAAATTTTTTTTGAAAAATGAATCCGAATAAAAATTATTAAATAAATGAATGAAATACCAATGTAAACTGAATGGTCTTCCGGCGAACAAGATCCTGTTAGGTTTTTTTTCTTCACAACAACAACAAACAATTATCATTTAGGTAATAGTTGTAGTGGTAGTTTTTGTTGTTGTTTTTGGTGTCAAAATGGAATTATTTTTCATTTTGAAAAGGTATAAATGATGAATTATTAACCATGCGACCAAAAACTATTTTAAAGGGAAAATTAATTAGTCGAAACCTGTTCATCATGACTAGACGATGATGCTAATATTATTATTATCATTATTATGATATCGTCTACAAGAAACAAAAAAAATCATCCACATCATCATAAGTAAATCAATTGAATGAATGAAAGAAAAAATACATTTTCTTACTATCGCAACTTCACGATCCAATATTTTTTCCCTTTTGGTCGGTGTGTTGATGAGCAAAGTATATTGATTGTATAATAGACTGATGATGATGATGATGATGAAAAATTCAAATTTTAAATGAATTTTTTTTTTGAAAAAGTCAATCAATGATGAACGATATAATGGGAATATCGATAGTGTGTGTGTGGTTGTCATCATCGATTGATTCGAATTGAATCAAATTCCTGTTTTGTTCTTGTTGTCGTTGTTGTTGTTGTTCAATCATCAAATCGATTCATAAACCAAAAATTGATGTTGTCCGGTCAATGGCCAACATGAAAAATTTTTTCCCTTCCCCTCATTTCATAAGAGAAATAAAATGTAAAAAAAATTTGCATTTCATTCATTCATTCATTCGATCAATCGATCGATTGATTGTGACCCAATATGTCTTTTTTTAAAAAACATCAATTTAGTAGTAGGAAACATATTTCGATGATGATGATATGCTACTAAAGAAAGATCCTCATTTTTTTCTCTTTATTGGTCGGTGAAAACAAAAATCGAAATTTTTTTTTATCATTTCGCCGATCAATACACAAACAATATGACAACCCATTGGAAATAATATCCATTATTGATCCAATGTTGTTCGATATAATAAACTCGTGTTTAATATACTTAATAATAAGTGAGAGTTATGTGATTATTATATTCATTCATACTATCTATAGATAGATAGAATGGATGTCACATATATGAATGGATATTTTTCTTTTTCTACTTTTTTGAAGACCATCATAAGTTCATATAATGATGATAATGATAATAAGTTAATAATAGCATCTTCGATAATGATGATGATGAAGTATTATTTTTACTTTTTTTAAAAATTTGAAACAAACAAACATTAATATAATGGTTGTTTTTTCATTTCAAAAAGAAAAAAAAATGTAATGTAATGAATACATTTGATCCGATTGTGGTGGTAGTAGCTGAATAATAATAACCTATTATTGATTGCTTGATTGATTGGGTTTCCCCTTACCTCCCCAAATAAATGAGAATTTGATTTGTTTTCTCCATTAATTTCTATATGAACTAAAATTAACTTTATATTTGGATTATCATTTATTATCATATATTTTCAATAGGTTTCATTCGGAGATATATGGTGATTATTTTTTCGAATGATGAAATCGAAAAAACAAAATATGAATGCAATCATTTCTCATCTACAAGTCTTTTACACATTTTGATGATTAACCATTGAGATAAAATGAAAAAAGATTTCGATATCCGGCTTGTAAATTGTGGTTGATGTTTGAATATCTTTCTTTCTTTTTTTGATTAGGCTTGCATGTATTCAAGTTATCAATGATGTTGGTACTATACAACAAACAAACAAACAGAAAAAAAATCTATCAAAATTAGGCAATGTGTACAAACAGAGTGAAATAAATGTGAATGAGAAAAAAGAAAGAAAAAACAAATTTACAATTATATTTGAATCGGTATGTCCGAAATATGAATTATCATTATTATTATTATTTTCCGTTGTTAGCATCGTTGATGACCAAAACAAAACATAAAAAAAAGATGTAGATCTCTCGAATACTGACCAATGTTCATCATAATTATATGATTATGATTGTTGTAACCAGAAGATCATCATCAGTGAAATCTAAAGTTGTTTTTTACAAATATAACAAGAGAGTAGGTAAGTGAATTAAGATAAAAAAGAGAGAAAGGAAAAAAATATCCTTAAGGTAAACAATACCAAAACAACAATCACATTCAGGCTAATGAAATTATATTTATAAATTCCACTTTCTCTTCTTTTTTTTCAACATCTATCTTCATTGAAATTGTTTTTCTTTTTTCTTTTCTGGTCATGTTAATAGTTATTGTTGTTGTTTTTTTTTGGTTTGAAAAACAATAACGGATAAGAGAAAAAAAGAAATGATCTCCATTATGTGTGATCATCATTCAATATGGTTATTTTTAATTAATTCAAGTCAAATGAAAATCAAAATAGGTTTCGTTTTCATTTACTTTAGAAAAAAAACATTCGATTTCATTTATTTCTCCTAATGATAAAAAATCACAATTTTTTCAGCCGAATACGTTATTTCAATTTATGTTTGTTATTGTTTTTGTTTACTTATGTGGCATCCAATTAGCTTTTGAAATGAAATCAAAAAAATTTTACAATATTTTTCCCCTGTTTTTTTCTAGACAAATATCATGATGATGATATAATCATATTTGAATGATAAATTATTGTCTGAATGAAATGATAAAAATTGTACACAAAACAAATAAATCGAATACAACAAAAAATTATTATGATTGACAATTGCAATTCATTTTTGTTCAAACGTTTTTATTCAAACGATGTTGTTGGAACAAACAAAAAAAAAGTAAAAATCAAAGGATAAATACTTTTAAATTACGGTATAAATTTGCCTCAACTTCATCATTGTCTTGTATGTCTCTTGCGTTGTTGTTGCCGTTGTTCAATTTGTCTATATTTTTAAATAAAAATTCAAATTATCGATTTAAATTACATAAATCATCATAATCGAAAGAAAATAAAAAGAAATCTATTCGATTTAATGAATGATTACAATATAATTGATGGTGATTAGCAATTTTGTTTTTTTCTTTTTGATTCATTCTGACCTAAAGCCAGATGAAAAACAACAACAGCATCGAGATAAATGTAACGAATC